TGGTGCATGCCTGTAATCCCAGGTACTAGGGAGGCTGAGGCAGAAGAATCACTTGAACCAGGGAGTTGGAGGTCGCAGTGAGCCGAGATTGCACCACTGCACTCCAGCCTGGTGAGAGCGACACTCAGAGCGACACTCCATCTCAAAAAAAAAGAAAAAAAAAAAAAAAAGAAAAATACCTGAGGCCAGGTACCGTGGCTCATGCCTGTAATCTCAACACTTTGGGAAGCCAAGGCAGGTGGATTACCTGAGCCCAGGAGTTCAAGACCAGCTTGGGCAACATAGCAAAGATGCATTTCTACGAAAAATACAAATATTAGCCAGGTGTGGTGGCATGTGCCTACAGTCTCTGCTACTCAGGAGGATCACTTGAGCCTGGGAGGTGAAGGTTGCAGTGAACCAAGATCGCACCACTGCACTCCAGCCTGGGTGACAAAGTGAGACCCTGTCTCAAAAACAAAAACAAACAAAAACGTGAGGCTGGGTAGTTTGTAAAGAAAAGAGGTTTAGGCTGGGTGCAGTGGCTCACGCCTGTAATCTCAACACTCTGGGAGGCCGAATTAGGCAGGCGGATCACGAGGTCAAGAGATTGAGACCATCCTGGCCAACATGGTGAAACCCCATCTCTACTAAAAATACAAAAATTAGCTGGGCATGGTGGTGCATGCCTGTAGTACCAGCTACTCTGGAGGCTGAGGCAGAAGAATCACTTGAACCCAGGAGGGGGAGGTTGCAGTAAGCCACGATCACACCACTGCACTCTAGCCTGGCAACACAGCAAGACTCCGTCTCAAAAAAAAAAAGAGGTTTAATTGGCTCACCATTCTGCAGGCTGTATAGGAAGCGTGGTGCTGGCTCAGCTTATGGGGAGGCCTCAGAAAGCTTACAATCAAAACGGAAGGTGAAGGGGAAGCAGGGATGTCACAGGGTGAGAATGGGAGTGTGAGACAGAGAGTTGTGGGGGAGGTGCCACACACTTTTAAACAACCAGATCTTGCGATAACTCATAGGGTGAATACTACACCAAACCATGAGGGGTCCACCCCCATGATCCAAAAACCTCCCACCAGGACCTACCTACAGCATTGGAGATTACATTTCAACATGAGATTCGGGCAGGGATAACTATCCCAACTATATCAGTGGGGGACAGAGGGGCAGAGTAAAGAACAAGGGAAGAATCCAAATTCTTATATCTTCCATCCTCCAAAACAGAACAAATACTTCAAGAACAGATCATGCCACAGACTAGCAATAAATTCCTATTTATTGACAGTCTGACCTTGCTGGCAGGATGGTTCCAAAGTTCTGCTGGAAACCAGCTCTACATCCTCAATTTAGCAAGATGAGCAGTTTTCCAGGGCACACCATGGTAAGGGGGCCCACCCAATCCTGGCCATCTGATCCCACAGGCTGGCCCCTGGATAGGTAACTTGGTGGCAACTCTAGTCTCTCATCATGTACAGGGGGTAAACCAGTTCATGCAAGGATCATGTATTAAGCTGCCTAATATATACAAAAACACTGCTAGGTCCTGAAGAAACAGAGATGAATAAATTACAGTCTTCCTGTGAGGAGTTTGAAATTAGCAAGGGAGACAGACACATAAGAAGTAAAATAACAGTACAGTGAGATACGCTATAAACAAACCTGGGAGGAGATGTAAGGGAAGGCTTTATAGAGATTTGCACTGTTCAAAAAAAAAAAAAAAAAAAAAGGATAAGGCTAAGTGCGGTGGCTTACACCTGTAATCCCAGCACTTTGGGAGGTTGAGGTGGGCGGATCACAAAGTCAGGAGTTCGAGACCAGCCTGGTCAATATGGTGAAACCTCGTCTCTACTAAAAAATACAAAAATTAGCCAGGCGTGGTGGTGCGCACCTGTAGTCCCAGCTACTCTGGAGGCTGGGGCAGAAGAATCACTTGAACTCGGGAGGTGGAGGCTACAGTGAACTGAGATCACACCACTGCACTCCAGCCTGGTTGACAGTGAGACTCTGTCTCAAAAAAAAAAAAAGGCCAGGTGTGGTGGCTCACACCTGTAATCCCAGCACTTTGGGAGGTGGAGGCGGGCGGATCACAAGTTCAGGAGATGGAGACCATCCTGGCTAACACTGTGAAAACCCGTCTCTACAGAAAATACAAAAACAAAAATGAGTCGGGCATGGTGGCAGGCATCTGTACTCCCAGCTACTTGGGAGGCTGAGGCGGGAGAATGGCGTGAACCCAGGAGGCCGAGCTTGCAGTGAGCTGAGATCACGCCACTGCACTCCAGCCTAGGCGACAGAGCGAGACTCCGTCTCAAAAAAAAAAAAAAAAAAGGATAAGTAGGGAATAGGAGATTGGGTGGTTTAGGCAGGAGGAACAATATGAGGCTTGTAGGCTTGAGAGAATATGATATTCAGTATTTCTATTTGAATACAGGATAGGGTTCCAGAAGGGGAATGTACCTCGAGAAGTAATTAGGATCCAGGTCTGAGCGGTCTCATATGCCAGGCTATTTTGACTTTACCTTGTATGCTCATATAATCTGGGTATATATCAAAATCAGTGCTGGCCGGTCGTGGTGGCTCACGCCTGTAATCCCAGCACTTTGGGAGGCCGAAGCAGGCGGATTACGAGGTCAGGAGATCAAGACCATCCTGGCTAACACCGTGAAACCCTGTCTCTACTAAAAAATACAAAAAAATTAGCCAGGCGTGGTCCGGGCGCCTGTAGTCCCAGCTACTCGGGAGGCTGAGGCAGGAGAATGGCATGAACCTGGGAGGTGGAGCTTGCAGTGAGCTGAGATCGCGCCACTGCACTCCAGCCTGGGAGACAGATCGAGACTGTCTCAAAAAAAAACAAAACAAAACAAAAAAAAAACAACGAAAACAAAACAAAATCAGTGCTTATTTTTTTGAGACAGAGTTTGGTTCTTGTTGCCCAGACTGGAGTGCAATTGTACAGTCTCAGATCACCGCAACCTCCACCTCCCGGGTTCAAGCGATTATCCTGCCTCAGCCTCCCAAGTAGCTGGGATTATAGGCATGAGCCACCACGCCCGGCTAATTGTTTTGTATTTTTAGTAGAGACGTGGTTTCACCATGTTGGCCGGGCTGGTCTCGAACTCCTGACCTCAGGTGATCCACCCACCTCGGCTTCCTAAGTGCTGGGATTACAGGTGTGAGCCACTGAGCCCGGCCTCAGTGCTTGCTTTAAAAAAAAAGAAAATGCTGATGACCAGGTAACCCCTCCCCTGAGAATCCTGATTTTAAAAAAGTAGAGAACTTTTATATCTAGCTGGAGGACCGTATATGCACCAGTCAGCACTCTGTGTCTAGCTCAGGGTTTGTGAATACACCAATTGGTATTCTGTATCTAGCTAACCGAATGGAGACTTGGAGGACTAGCACTCTGACTCTGTGTCTAGCTCAAGGATTGTAAATGCACCAATCGGCACTCTGTGTCTAGCTCAAGGTTTGTAAATACACCAATCAGTACTCTGTGTCTAGCTCAAAGTTTGTAAACATACCAATTGGTACTCTGTATCTAGCTAACACTGTATCTAGCTAACTAGCACTCTGTGACCCTGTGTCTAGCTCAAGGATTGTAAACGTACCAATCAGCACTCTGTCAAATCGGACCAATCAGCTCTCTGTAAAATGGACCATCAGCAGGATGTGGGTGGGGCCAGATAAGGGAATAAAAGCAGGCTGCCGGAGCCAGCAGTGGCAACCCGCTGGGGTCCCCTTCCACCCTGTGGAGGTTTTGTTCTTTCACTCTGTAATAAATCTTGCTGCTGCTCACTCTGGGTCCATGCTACCATGAGCTGTAACACTCAAGGCGAAGGTCTGCAGCTTCATTCCTGAAGCCAGCAAGACTACAAACCCACCGGGAAGAACAAACAACTCCTGAGGCACTTCCTTTAAGAGCTGTAACACTCACCACGAAGGTCTACAGCTTCACTCCTGACAGCAAGACCACGAACCCACCAGAAGGAAGAAGCTCCAGACACATCTGAACGTCTGAAGGAACAAACTCCGGACACACCATCTTTAAGAACTGTAACACTCAATGTGAGGGTCCACGGCTTCCTTCTTGAAGTCAGTGAGACCAAGAACCCACCAATTTCGGACACACTGGGATTACAGGTGTGAGCCCACTGTGCCCGACCTCAGTTCTTTTTCTAATTACAAAATTCACTGATTGTCTAAAAAACTCCACCATCTACTTCTTTGACCCTCACCTATGTCTGCAGGGAGATGAACTGGGTCATAAAGCGCAGTAATTGTAGAAGCAGGTAAATTAAGGGCTTTTCAGGCCAGAAGTCATTTGTGATTTTTCCACTGTGCTTCTTCCCCTGGGGAGAGAGAACCTTAAGTCCACTTCCTTACACGTTGCTCCCAGGTGGCAAAACAGAAGTCACTACTCAAAGGTCCAATTTTCAAGGGGAACTCCCTAGACGGCAGATCCCCTTTAAAATCGCTGAGATAAACACAAGGGTAAACTTTTTCAAAATAATCTGCCATACAAAGTTAAGAGAAGCCCAAAGACATACACAGTGATAAATAAGAACAAAAACATAGAAGAAGACTAACGGACCGCGAGAGACTTTACCAATTAACAATAACCGTGTCAGGCTGCCCAACTCAGAGAGTGAAAGGACAGACACCCTCTCTCCTTGGGCGCCTCTGCGCCAGACCGGGTTTCGGCATGCTTATGGTGGGGCACTGAACGCTCACTGTGCAGCCAGGGAAGTCTCCAGCACAGCCTCTGGAAGACATTCCTATTACATATTTATTACTTTGGCGCGGGCCATTCGTGACAGGTGGGAGAGGAGTGAGGTGAGATTCAGACGGTGGGACCCCTGCATGGGACAGATACCCAGAGCCCCTTCCCTGGTTGGGGGGCCACGAACCGCCTCGCAGGGCTCAGCAGCTGGTGGTTCAGCCGGCAGGTGCTTCGAACAAAGCCGCCGCCTGCGCTCCATCTCCCCGGCCCTCGCTAGGCTCTTGCCCGCGGGTACACCTCTCGGGCCTCGGCCAGGGCGAGCCTCCTGGCCAAGAGCTCTCAAACTCCAAATCTTTCCCGGAGCAAGCGAACGGGCCTAGCTGCCACTCCTCTCCCGAAAGGGCGTCAGGGTCCTGGCTGCCAGGCCTCAGCCCCCTCCCCGGGAAGCCGTCGCGAAGAGGTCCCCAGGGGCTGCAGCGTCTAAGGCCCTCTACATTCAATGCAACGAGCTTTCCGCCAGGCTGAGGTCCCTGCCGCTGAGGGCGGAAGTGGTAAGACTGACGTGTCCTGGGCCGCGCTGCCGATCGCCGGGAGGACCCCCGCCTTGCCCAGGACGGGCGGGGCGAGCCGAGCCTCACGGGGTCGCCGGAGCTGGGCCGGGCCTCCAGATGGAGAAGGCGCAGCGGGGAGTTCTTGAGTAAGCCAGAGCTGTGTCCAGCGCGGTGTAGCCGCAGCCGCAGCTGTCAGGCGCAGCAGCGGGCAACCCCGTGGAGGTCGGTTGCCAGGTCCTCTCCAACCCGCCGCTACCGCGCCGCTCTGGTAGACCCCGGCAGGAGCCCAAGGGCAGCTACGGGGCCGCGGAGGCCGCTGGCGCCGCCTCGGCCAGCCCTTCCCGCGCGGTGAGGACCTCGGGGCTATGGCGGGAAGGGACCCGAGGTGCGAGACCGCGCGGCGTTGTCATGGAAACGGGCCAGGGCGCGAAATAGAGGCCCCGGGCCGGACGGGCTGCGGGAGGGATGAACCCCAGGTTGGGAGGATGAGAGAGCAGAAGTGGAGCGGGGTCTTTGGGATAGAGAGAGGCGGGGTAGGGTGCGGGCGGGGAGGGGGTCAATGGAAGCAAGTGGAGCCAGGGGACCTCAGTTCGAGGCACCTGACCTGGGGTTTCTGTAACCTCCCTGGTTTCTGTAACCTCAGGATTCCCCCAAACAGGTTCCACTGCCTTAAGGATGACAGTCATAGGGAACCCTCGAAGTTGGAGCTGCCAGTGGTTGCCAATCCTGATACTGTTGCTGGGCACAGGCCATGGGCCAGGGGTGGAAGGCGTGACACACTACAAGGCCGGCGACCCTGTTATTCTATATGTCAACAAAGTGGGACCCTACCATAACCCTCAGGAAACTTACCACTACTATCAGCTTCCAGTTTGCTGCCCTGAGAAGATACGTCACAAAAGCCTTAGCCTGGGTGAAGTGCTGGATGGGGACCGAATGGCTGAGTCTTTGTATGAGATCCGCTTTCGGGAAAACGTGGAGAAGAGAATTCTGTGCCACATGCAGCTCAGTTCTGCACAGGTCAGCCTCTCCACACTGGCTATCATGTAGCCCTCCTTCCCAGAGACTAACAGTGGCTTACATATATGGTTCAGGGTACCTTTATGGAAATTGTCTGATTTGATTCTAACTACAATACAACCCAGTGTGGCAGGCAGGGTAGGTGATGCTATTCTAATTCAGTTGACTAAGTTACGAACTTGCTTAGAAGTTACTTTTTTCAAGATTACATTGACAGTGAATTGCAGAACTGATATCAGAGCCCAGGGTTTCTTACTGCAAGCTTCTCTGTTGGTCATGAGGTCCCAACTATCAGTCCTACATATTTCTGTTTCCTTCCATGCCTACCTCTTGGCTGTTTCTTAACTGTTTTCCTGTAGTCTCTACCTAACCTTCCCTGTCATGCTTTTTCTTTAGTGAATCCTGGTACTTCTTAGTCCACTCCAGACTTCCTTACACCTTACCACTCTCCTTTTTCTAGGCTTTAACCCTGTCAAGTCATACTTGCTCTTTCTTTTGGAGAATCTCAACATACTGGAGTCTAATCCAGTGATTGTCAATAGGGAACAGTTTTGTTCCCCAAGGGACATTTAGCAATGTCTGGAGACATTTTTTATTGTTACAGCTGGGGGGTACTACCAGCATGTAATGGGAAGAGGCCAAGAAAGCTACATCCTACAGTGCATGGGACAACCCCACTATGACAAGCTCCATCTCCTGGGTTCGTGCCATTCTCCTGCCTCAGCCTCCCGAGTAGCTGGGACTACAGGTGCCCGCCACCATGCCCGGCTAATTTTTTGTATTTTTAGTAGAAACGGGGTTTCACCGTGTCAGCCAGTATGGTCTCCATCTCCTGACCTTGTGATCCGCCCGCCTCAGCCTCCCAAAGTGCTGGGATTACAGGCATGAGCCACCGCACCTGGCCAATCCCAGCACTTTGGGAGGCCGAGGTGGGCGGATCATGAGGTCAGGAGTTTGAGACTAGCCTGGCCAACATGGTGAAACCTGTCTCTATTAAAAATACAAAAATGAGCTGGGTGTGGTGGTGGGTACCTGTAATCCCAGCTACTCGGGAGGCTGGGGCAGGAGAATTGCTTGAACCGAGGAGGCGGAGACTGCAGTAAACCGAGATCGCACCACTGCACTCCAGCCTGGGTGACAGAGCAAGACTCCATCTCGAAAAAAAAGAACAGTCCACCCCAAAATATCAGTAGTGCTGAAGGTGAGAAACTTTGCTCTAACTCTCTGCCTGGGGAGGTCTTGTGTGACCAACTCCTGACTTGCTCTTTATAGGTGGAGCAGCTGCGCCAGGCCATCGAAGAACTGTACTACTTTGAATTTGTGGTAGATGACTTGCCAATCCGGGGCTTTGTGGGCTACATGGAGGAGAGCGGCTTCTTGCCACACAGCCACAAGATAGGACTCTGGACCCATTTGGACTTCCACCTAGAATTTCATGGAGACCGAATTATATTTGCCAATGTTTCAGTGCGGGACGTCAAGCCCCACAGCTTGGATGGGTTACGACCTGATGAGTTCCTAGGCCTTACCCACACTTATAGCGTGCGCTGGTCTGAGACTTCAGTAGAGCGTCGGAGTGACAGGCGCCGTGGTGATGATGGTGGTTTCTTTCCTCGAACACTGGAAATCCATTGGTTGTCCATCATCAACTCCATGGTGCTTGTGTTTTTACTGGTGGGTTTTGTGGCTGTCATTCTAATGCGTGTGCTTCGGAATGACCTGGCTCGGTACAACTTAGATGAGGAGACCACCTCTGCAGGTTCTGGTGATGACTTTGACCAGGGTGACAATGGCTGGAAAATTATCCATACAGATGTCTTCCGCTTCCCCCCATACCGTGGTCTGCTCTGTGCTGTGCTTGGCGTGGGCGCCCAGTTCCTGGCCCTTGGCACTGGTGAGGTGATAAAAATGAATTGGGGATTTATCTCATGGGGTAGAACTAGGTATGGAGTTTGTTCAGAAAAGGTCTGTGGATCTTCTATCCAGAGGGGCAGACCTAAGGGATAAAGTGGCTCTAGCAAGGATGCATGTATTCTATTGTAGATTTTCTGGATAGCAAAACTGGGGGAGATTGTTTTGCTGGAGGCCCTGGGTCTGGGAGAAGGGGGGCTGATTCCTCTGAAATTGCTAGAAGAGACACAGGTAAGGCCTAACATGGGCTTTCCACTACCGTCCTGCAGGCATTATTGTCATGGCACTGCTAGGCATGTTCAATGTGCACCGTCATGGGGCCATTAACTCGGCAGCCATCTTGTTGTATGCCCTGACCTGCTGCATCTCTGGCTACGTGTCCAGCCACTTCTACCGGCAGATTGGAGGCGAGCGTTGGGTGTGGAACATCATTCTCACCACCAGTCTCTTCTCTGGTGAGGACATTCCTTTCCCTGGTGGGCCTTTCTGGACTTAGGAATTAAGAATACATTGTGGCTGGGCACAGTAGCTCACACCTGTAATCCTAGCACTTTGGGAGACCAAGGCCGGAGGACCACTTGAGTCCAAAAGTTTGAGACAAGCCTAGGCAACATAGTGAGACCCTGTCTCTATAACAAAAAATTAGCTGGGCATGGTGGTTTACATCTGTAATTCCAGCTACTTGGGAGGCTGAGGCAGGAGGATTGCTTGAGTCTAGGGAGCCTGGGAGGTTGAGGCTACAGTGAGCCATGATTGCACCACTGCACTCTAGCTGGGGTGACAGAGTGAGACTGTCTCAAAAAAAAAAAAAAGAACACATCATAGAACTTGGGATAGAGTCAGGATGAGGCTTGAAGGGAAGGAATATTGTAAAAGAAACAAGAAAACCAAAAAAGACAAGAATGCACTTCTTTTGAATAGTTTAACATTATAAAGCCCTCGCTGGGCGTGGTGGCTCACGCCTGTAATCCCAGCACTTTGGGAGGCCAAGGGTGGGCAGATCACGAGGTCAGGAGATCGAGACCATCCTGGTTAACAAGGTGAAACCCTGTCTCTACTAAAAATACAAAAATAAAAATTAGCCGGGCGTGGTGGCAGGCACCTGTAGTCCCAGCTACTCGGGAGGCTGAGGCAGGAGAACGGCGTGAACCCGGGAGGCAGAGCTTGCAGTGAGCCGAGATCGCGCCACTGCACTCCAGCCTGGGCGACAAAGCGAGACTCTGTCTCAAAAAAATAAAAATAAATAAATAAATAAACAATATGTCCTAGGCAGTGTGGTAAGCACTCAGCAATAACTGTGTGAAGTAGGTAATATTTCCATTCCACAGATGAGGAAACTGAACTAAAGGCTGCTTAAGTAACTTGTCTGAGATTACACTCCTAAAAAGTAGTGAACCAGGTTTCAGCAGTCTGACTTGTATTCTCACCCATTACACTAAAGTAACACCCTTTAATTTTTATTTTGAAAGTGGGCCCACTCTAAGCTTTCAAACCAGATTGCCCTTTCAAAGGCAGTAGTAGTCCCTGTTCTGAACCCATTTTGTTCCCAATCCTATGTGTCTGATTTATATCCCATCACATTTATATTTGAACCAAGGCTTTCTGAAAACAGGGTCTTAATCCAAAGAAATGTCTCATGCTAGGAATTACCAACTCCAAGGCAAGACAGGCCCCTGGAGGCAGGTGGATTTGTGTTACTCTCAGATTATGTAGTAGCTAACTGGATCCTTAATGACACCGGGATGTGGGGTGGTGGTGGTAAGATAAAGAGCAAAGAGGCCAGGCACGGTGGCTCAGGCCTGTGATCCCAGCACTTTGGGAGGCTGAGGTGGGCAGATCAAGAGGTCAGGAGATCGAGACCATCCTGGCTAACACGGTGAAACCCCGTCTCTATTAAAAATACAAAAAAATTAGCCGGGTGTGGTGGCACATGCCTGTAATCCCAGCTACTCGGGAGGCTGAGGCAGGAGAATGGCGTGAACCCGGGAGGCAGAGCTTGCAGTGAGCGGATATCGTGCCACTGCACTCCAGCCTGGGCAACAGAGTGAGACTCTGTCTCAAAAAAAAAAAAAAAAAAAAAGAGCAAAGAGTAACGGGATCTGAAAGGGTGGAAGTGAAGGCAGTTGACTATGAAGGGACATCCAGGAGCATGAGTCTGCTGTTAAGAGTGGCAGGCTGCTTCACCCCCCTCCCCTTTTGGTCCTGGATATAAGTGGGTGCCCTTAGAGATGTAGCTCCTAGTGTTGACCCTCCCTCCGGGGGCCATCCCTGCAGTGCCTTTCTTCCTGACGTGGAGTGTGGTGAACTCAGTGCACTGGGCCAATGGTTCGACACAGGCTCTGCCAGCCACAACCATCCTGCTGCTTCTGACGGTTTGGCTGCTGGTGGGCTTTCCCCTCACTGTCATTGGAGGCATCTTCGGGAAGAACAACGCCAGCCCCTTTGATGCACCCTGTCGCACCAAGAACATCGCCCGGGAGATTCCACCCCAGCCCTGGTACAAGTCTACTGTCATCCACATGACGGTTGGAGGCTTCCTGCCTTTCAGGTATCCTCCCTTTATTCCATGGCTATCACTCTCAGGTTCCTGACCTCAACTTTTCCTGTCCCTACTCATCCAGTACCCTAACCCAACCCGCTGATCCCTGGTTCAGTGGTACCATTCAGAGATCATTAAATGGTTCCTCCTATCTCCAAGCAGGACTGAGCTTGAATCAGTTCAGATATAAGAGTGTCTCACTTATAAGGCCCTCCAGAGACATCTCCCCCTTCACCTTCCTGGTTTCTGACTTTAGTGTCTGTGGACATCATGTGGGGTTTAAAGCCCATTTGATGATCCATTTACTTTGTTGAATACCTCTTTGTGCCAGGCAAAGAATGAAGTGGAAAGTAAAATGGATAAGATCCCTGCCCTCAATCTATTAGGGAAGATATTCTTGAAGTGAGAGCAGCTAATCATAGGCAAAAAATCCCCATGAAGCCAGGAGATCTGGGGCAGAGAGTGGAGTGAACTCACTTTTCACAATGACCCAGCAACATGGGAGAGGGTGGGGGCTGGATTTCAGCCCAGCCACAGTGCACAGCCCTTTAATGCTGTGTATCATTTCTTTTCTTCACAGTGCCATCTCTGTGGAGCTGTACTACATCTTTGCCACAGTATGGGGTCGGGAGCAGTATACTTTGTACGGCATCCTCTTCTTTGTCTTCGCCATCCTGCTGAGTGTGGGGGCTTGCATCTCCATTGCACTCACCTACTTCCAGTTGTCTGGGGAGGATTACCGCTGGTGGTGGCGATCTGTGCTGAGTGTTGGCTCCACTGGCCTCTTCATCTTCCTCTACTCAGTTTTCTATTATGCCCGGCGCTCCAACATGTCTGGGGCAGTACAGACAGTAGAGTTCTTTGGCTACTCCTTACTCACTGGTTATGTCTTCTTCCTCATGCTGGGCACCATCTCCTTTTTTTCTTCCCTAAAGTTCATCCGGTATATCTATGTTAACCTCAAGATGGACTGAGTTCTGTGTGGCAGAAGTATTGCTGTTCTCTCCCTTTCTTCATGCCTCGTTGAGCTCTCCTACCAGCTTCTCTTCTGATTGACTGAGTTGTGTGATGGCATTGTTGCCTTCCCCTTTGCCCTTTTGGCCTTCCTTCCCCAGAGAGGGCCTGGAAATTATAAATCTCTATTACATAAGGAGTATATATTTGAAATTTTTAAGTTGCCTTTAGTTTTGGTCCTGATTTTTCTTTTTACAATTATCAAAATAAAATTTGTTAAGAAAAAGGATCATGTAGTTGGAGGTTTTGGTCTGGATATAGGAACTCCAGCCCCGCGGTTAAGGGCACGGTCCTTTAGAAAGCCGAGCTGGCCACTGAATGCCCGAAGCTTGAGTTCTCCAACCCAACTTGGGAACTCCCGGCGTGGGGAACCTACATTGCCAGAGCTGGGTTTCCGCGACTCAGCCGGTGCTCAGCATAACGGAAGTGGAGGAGTCGGACCTCTTTGTGGGAAGTGAATTGAATCACCTTGGCAACCCTCGGGGCGTGTGGCAACGCCCTTTCCGCCGGAAGTGGGTGTCAGAGCCTCCACGTGCTGTCCCTCCCCCTCCCCTTTTCGGCCCAGTAGCGGCGGCTCAGCTGCTGCCATGGAGCCCGCCGGCCTGGAGCAGCTCCTACGGGAGCTGCTGCTGCCGGACACCGAGCGCATCCGTCGGGTACGGGAGTAGGCATAACTGGGCCAGGGCGAGCGGGAGGTTGCGGGAAAGACCCAACTCTCACCCCTAGCTTCCCCCCAGGCCACGGAACAGCTCCAGATCGCTCTTCGGGCCCCCGCCGCTTTGCCGGCTCTCTGCGACCTGCTAACCTCGGCGGCCGACCCCCAGGTGAGACCCCTGACTCTCCCCTCCGAGCTTCCCACTGTACGCCACTGGTCAAGCCCCAATATCCGTCCCCTGCGGTCCGCTCAGCACCCTCCTGCCTGGACCCCCACGTGCTTGTTTCCTCGTCCTAGATCCGCCAGTTTGCGGCGGTGCTGACCCGCAGACGACTGAACACCCGCTGGCGACGGCTGGCGGCGGAGCAACGGGAGAGGTGGGCTGGGCCTGGGTTGGGGCGGGGCCAGGCGGAGACTTTTCTTGGGCAGCCTGTGTACCAAACACCTGCCCCCTGTGTTCCAGCCTCAAGTCCCTGATCCTGACGGCCCTGCAGAGAGAAACAGAGTAAGTACCTACCCCCTTTTCTCGGGATCCTGACGACCTTGTCGGGATTTCTGCCTTCCCTTTCAGTTCCAGGCTGGGACTTGTGGGGCAGGGACTTCAGTTCTAGACCCAAGGTGGAGTGAGAATTTTAAGGCTGTTTTGAAGACTGAAGTTCTTGAGGAAGGGTGACTATGATCTGCCAAACTCAAGTCAGAAGAATAAGACTGAAATTCAGGCTAGTAAGACTGAACTTACCAGATTACATGCCCGCAGTGCTGCTGGGCTCCCTCTGAGCTGCTGTCTCATGTGTCCCAACTTGGTAAAGACCCTGTGCCCACACCTCCTGAAAGTTTCTCTCCTGGCTGCCCCATTGTGCCTGGCCACTATGTGCAGAGGAAGGTATTGGAGAGTGATAGAGGAGATCTCTCCTGTTTGCAGGCACTGTGTGAGCCTCAGCCTGGCCCAGCTTTCAGCCACCATTTTTCGAAAGGAAGGCCTGGAGGCCTGGCCACAGCTTTTGCAGCTTCTTCAGCACAGTACCCACAGCCCCCACAGCCCAGAGAGAGAGGTACCATCACATGGTTGGCAGGAGGGAGGGACTAAGAGGTGGGATAGACCATGTAAGCTTGCTCTCCAATCCTCTATTCTTGGACAGATGGGGCTTTTGCTGCTAAGTGTGGTGGTGACCTCCCGGCCCGAGGCCTTCCAACCCCACCACCGGGAGCTGCTTCGGCTTCTGAATGAGACTCTTGGTGAGGTGGGCTCTCCTGGGCTGCTCTTCTACTCCCTGCGCACTCTGACCACCATGGCCCCCTACCTCAGCACTGAAGACGTGGTGAGATGTGGGCCCTCGTATCTTTGACTCCCTTTCCTCAGGCCTTCATGTCCTTATCTGTAAAAGTTACAAAACTGCTTTGGATTCTTTACCTGCCTGTGGCCCTTCCTGACAATTGAGAGGGGATGCTGTAGGTGGGCCTGGCTATTATGCCTGGGCTCCTCCTCGTAATTCAGGCTATGAGGAAGCTGTCAGCTGCTGGGGTGTGAGATTAGGCTGCATCATGCTGTCTGTGATGTGTCCTTCAGCCTCTCGCTCGGATGTTGGTGCCCAAGCTGATCGTGGCTGTGCAGACTCTGATCCCCATAGATGAGGTGAGGACAGGTGGGCAGGAGCTCTGTTGGAAGAAGAGTGCAAAAGTGACCAGCTTGGCCCACTGAAGAAGAGCATGGTAACCTTGTGCCTTGTTTGTCAGGCAAAGGCCTGTGAGGCCCTTGAGGTTTTGGATGAACTGTTGGAGTCAGAGGTGCCCATCATCACTCCCTACCTCTCCGAGGTCCTCACATTCTGCCTGGAGGTGAGCCTGGAGTGGACATGGCCCCTGCTACATGCTCTGCTGGGACTTTCCTTCCCTGTCTCTGATTCTTATTATTCTCTGGACAGGTGGCTAGAAATGTGGCCCTGGGCAATGCGATACGCGTACGTGTTCTCTGCTGCCTCACTTTCTTGGTCAAAGTCAAGAGCAAGGTGAGTGAGTGCCCATTGACACACATCACCCCACCCACTCTCCACCCTTAGTCTCACTCCTGGGACTTTCGGTTCATCTCAGGGTATCTAAAGTACTGTGGGGGTTCAAGCCTTGGCCTAGCCTCACCCCAGCTCCTGCCTGGGAGATTGGGAATTTTCTGTCGGACCCTTTATGGCCTGGAAGAGTGGAATTTTTAATGTGAGCCCATCCTGGGAGCAGATTCTTAGGGACACTGTTCCACCTTCTCTGTCAAGGCCTTACTGAAGAATCGTCTCCTGCCACCCTTGCTACACACCCTTTTCCCCATTATGGCTGCTGAGCCCCTGCCAGGCCAGTTGGATCCTGAGGACCAGGATTCAGAAGAGGAAGATTTGGAGATTGAGCTGATGGGGGAGACTCCCAAGCATTTTGCTGTACAGGTGAGATGTGGGGCAGGACAGAGGGGGAAGGTGTTAGGTGGCTGTGGGAGGTTGGGGAGGCAGAGATGGAGTCGAGCAAAGTAAGTCTCCCCATCCTATCTTAGGTTGTGGACATGCTGGCGCTACACCTGCCCCCCGACAAGCTCTGTCCCCAGCTGGTAAGTGTGGCTCTGTCCTTCTGGTGTCCCTACCTCCAAGTGTGCCTAGTCCCCTGAGGCCAAGGACGTTTAGACCCTGGGAGGTGTGAAGGTCTATTTCCACAGGAATGGGCAGGCTCTTGCTGGGGTTTCAGAAGCGTGCCACATGCTTCCCTAGATGCCCATGCTGGAAGAGGCCTTGCGGAGCGAGAGCCCATACCAGCGCAAGGCTGGGCTCCTGGTGCTGGCCGTGCTGTCTGACGGAGCTGGTGACCACATCAGGCAGAGGTATCTATTCCCCTATCCCAGGGTGAGGGTTGCCCACCGGGAGGACCATGGCTGTCATGGTTTACGCTTGTTGTTCAGGCTTATTTATCAACAGCATTTTCCCCCATTCTCAAAAGTGTCCTGGCTTAGAAGATAAATGACATGGCTTCCCAGCTGTAGGGATCAGGGGCTGCTGCCCACCCTCTGGTGACAGGAAAAGCCTTGTTTTTTCCAGGGAAAATGAAGAGAACAGGTCAGCCTAGGGCTGTCAGGTATAGCTCCTCAGCCTGTGTCCTCTTGTCCTGCCCTATCCAGACTGCTGCCCCCACTGCTACAGATCGTGTGCAAGGGCCTGGAGGATCCCTCGCAAGTTGTACGCAATGCTGCGCTATTTGCCCTGGGCCAGTTCTCAGAAAACCTACAGGTGAACCACGCTGAATGTGGGAGCCACCACTTGAATGTCCCCTTCCTCTCACCTTTCATCTCTTCAAGCATCCCTGCTGCCGTCGCACTCTTGTATGTGCCCTGCAGGTGAACCTGACTCAAGCCCTGCTTGCTCCCTCCCCCAGCCCCATATCAGCAGCTGTTCAAGGGAGGTGATGCCACTGCTCCTCGCCTACCTGAAGTCGGTGCCTCTTGGACACACACACCACCTAGCCAAGGCCTGCTATGCCCTGGAGAATTTCGTGGAGAACTTAGGTAGTGATGGCAGTGGGGAGCTTGGGGGAGGGGGATGAGGCAGCGGCTTTGGCTGAATGTGCAGGATGTGCATCTCCTTGCATTGCTGCCTATGGTGGGGGAAAGTGTGTGATGGCGCCACAAAGGGGTTTCCGCCTGGAGGGAAGTGGGCATGCAGGTAGGAGATCTGGGTTGGTTGATAGAGGAGCATCCTTTCCCACAGGGCCCAAAGTGCAGCCCTACCTTCCGGAGCTTATGGAATGCATGCTGCAGCCTCTGAGGAGCCCCAGCAGTCCCCGGGCCAAGGAGCTGGCTGTGAGCGCCCTGGGAGCCATTGGTGAGGAGAGGCAGGAGGCAGGGATGTGGGGTTCACCCAAAGGCCCTGTGGCTGGTGGTCCCTGCCCTTTCCAGCTCTGATTCTGTCCTTCCATCCTGCAGCTACAGCTGCCCAGGCCTCGCTGCTGCCCTACTTCCCTGCCATCATGGAGCACCTGCAGGAATTCTTGTTAACAGGCCGTGAGGACCTTCAGCCTGTGCAGATCCAGAGCCTGGGTGAGTGAGAGGCTCCCAGGTGGGGATCCCAGTGCCAGCAAAGGGCCGATGCTCACCTGGTGTTGACAGAGATTGCCCCCACGGGAGCACGGATGTCTTCCTTTTCATCAAAGGGGGTGTTCTTCACCCTGTACCAAGGGGTAGGGGGGGATTTCTGAATCCCTCCCAGCTACCACCTTTGGTCCTATAGCCCACCTCCACCTCCTGGTGCTAATGGAGCCCTTGCTCCCACAGAGACACTGGGAGTGCTGGCACGAGCGGTGGGGGAGCCCATGAGGCCGCTGGCTGAGGAATGCTGCCAGCTGGGTCTGGGCCTCTGCAACCAGGTAGACGACCCTGACTTGCGGCGCTGCACGTGAGTGATCCCTCACCCTGCCTCTGCCCTTGTCCCCACCCCTTCTTTCTGCCCACTGGACCCACTGGAATCCCCACCCCAGACTCTAGTCCTCTGGTTCGGACCATAACCAGGTGTTCCCGGGCTCCCCCATCCTGTCTGGTGGTAGCAAGCAGGACCATACAGCTTCTTCTGCCTGCTTTGACCAGGTACAGCCTATTTGCCGCCTTATCGGGTCTGATGGGCGAGGGCCTGGCACCCCACTTGGAACAGATCACCACGCTCATGCTGCTGTCACTGCGTTCTACCGAGGGCATTGTGGTGAGCAGAGGGTGGGCTGGGCCAGGCCAGCCCTGCAATGGGATTTATCTCCTGGGCCCAGCTGAGCCAAAGTCCTTGCCATGCCTCCACTCCAGCCTCAGTATGACGGGAGCAGCTCCTTCCTTCTGTTTGACGATGAGAGTGATGGGGAAGAAGAGGAGGAGCTCATGGATGAGGATGTGGAAGAAGAGGATGACTCAGAGATCTCAGGGTGCGGAGGGGTGCTCTTCTGATCAGGAATCTAGACTTTGGTTTTAGACCAGGGAACTAGTGCTGGATCTGCTCCTCTTGGTGCCTGATCACCACTGCCTCCCCATCTTACTCTAGGTACAGCGTGGAGAACGCCTTCTTCGATGAGAAGGAAGACACCTGTGCTGCCCTAGGGGAGATCTCTGTGAACACCAGGTGAGCATTCGCCCTTCCCTGGCACTGAAAACCCTGCCTGAGGGCCCCTTACCCATGACTGTGTCTCTCTCTGTAGTGTGGCCTTCCTTCCATACATGGAAAGTGTCTTTGAAGAAGTATTTAAACTGCTGGAGGTGAGTGGGCCAGTGGGTGGAGTGGGTGGGATTCTCAGGCTGGGGGCCCTGTGTTCACAGTGCACACAGCAGACACATCCCGCCCCTCCTCATCTTGCAGTGCCCTCACCTGAATGTGCGGAAGGCAGCCCATGAGGCTCTGGGTCAGTTTTGCTGTGCACTGCACAAGGCCTGTCAAAGCTGCCCCTCAGAACCCAACACTGCTGGTGAGAAGGAGAGGCTGGGCCAGGCTGAGGGTTCTTGGGGCACGGCAGGGCCTGACCAGTGCTTCAGCCAATAATGTCCCCAGCTTTGCAGGCTGCCCTGGCCCGAGTGGTGCCATCCTACATGCATTCAGTGAACAGGGAGCAGGAGCGCCAGGTGGTGATGGCCGTGCTGGAGGCCCTGACAGGGGTGCTCCGCAGCTGTGGGACCCTCACTCTGAAGCCCCCTGGGCGCCTGGCTGAGCTCTGTAGCATGCTCAAGGCTGTGCTGCAGAGGAAGGTGAGCAGGGCAGGTGGGCTTCGGGAAGGAGAGGTGCCGGGCCCAGGTTGGGGACTGGCTACAAGTCCACCCCCATACCCATGAAAAGAGAAGAGGCATGAAAGCTCTGGCTAAGTTGAGCTACTTCTTCTTGTAGACAGCCTGTCAGGATACTGACGAGGAGGAGGAAGAGGAAGATGATGATCAGGTGAGCGCCAGGGATGAAAACTGGGACCAGGTGGTCCAGGCAGTCTCCACAGGGACAGGGGTGGACAGTGTATTTGTTCTTGGCCGGGGGCAGCCAGGGCCACTAAAAGAGATTGGTAATGGTCAGAGAGACACAACCCTGGTCCCAGTAAGCCAGTGGGAGTTCAGGGAAGGAGAGCAGTGTGGACTGGGGTGTGCTTAGAGCGATAGGCAGGAGCAGAAGAGCTAGGGGAAGAAGCTGGGCCATGAAAACACCCAGTCTGAGAGGGACCAGCCCTATCAACCAAGGGCAGCCCCAGGGACCCCTGCAGCTGGTAGCAGAGCATGGTAGGGAGGTGTGCAGTCACTGAGCTGGCCCTGGTGCTCCAGCCCCTGACCTGGCTCCACAGGCTGAATACGACGCCATGTTGCTGGAGCATGCTGGAGAGGCCATCCCTGCCCTGGCAGCCGCGGCTGGGGGAGACTCCTTTGCCCCATTCTTTGCTGGTTTCCTGCCATTATTGGTGTGCAAGACAGTGAGTGTCCATCTTCTGGCTTCAAGCCCTAGTCCCCTCGTGCACCCAGTGCCCATCTCAGCCTTTATCGTTGGCCCAGGCTGATCTGTACTCCTTCCTGTTCTCCCCCATCAGAAACAGGGCTGCACAGTGGCAGAGAAGTCCTTTGCAGTGGGGACCTTGGCAGAGACTATTCAGGGCCTGGGTGCTGCCTCAGCCCAATTTGTGTCTCGGCTGCTCCCTGTGCTGTTGAGCACCGCCCGAGAGGCAGACCCTGAGGTGCGAAGCAATGCCATCTTTGGGCTGGGTGTGCTAGCAGAGCACGGGGGCCACCCTGCCCAGGAGTATCCTTGGCTCACAGGAGGGGAGGGACTGGGGGTTGGGGGAGTGTCCCCAGGGCTTGCAGGTGGGCAAGGTCTACCTGAGTGTGTGGCCATTCCTTGACTGTGGATCAGACACTTCCCCAAGCTGCTGGGGCTCCTTTTTCCCCTCCTGGCGCGGGAGAGACACGATCGTGTCCGTGACAACATCTGTGGGGCACTTGCCCGCCTGTTGATGGCCAGTCCCACCAGGAAACCAGAGCCCCAGGTGAGGGAGGGAGACATCAGGCAGAGCCTGGAAGCTGAGGAGGGAGGGTGGTGGAGGGCAGGGCAGGTTGGCCTGAGACATTTGTGTGCCCAGGTGCTGGCTGCCCTACTGCATGCCCTGCCACTGAAGAAGGACTTGGAGGAGTGGGTCACCATTGGGCATCTCTTCAGCTTCCTGTACCAGAGCAGCCCTGACCAGGTAACCTTGTGGCTGGCAGCCCTCAGAGGGGAGCATGCCGCTCCACTCAGTGATAGGCACTGTCTGCTGTGAGGCTCAGGAGCTCCAGGCTGTCGGTTGCACCTGATGCAAGGTGACAGTTTCAACTGTTCTTTTGATACTCCCTGCACCATTTCTTATTTGTCTGCAAGGATTGGCAGCCAGTCCTGTGATGGGACAGGAAGGACTTCTCCCTCCACGTAGCATTTTTCCGGAGGAAGCTCCATTTCTACCCTTTGGTCTGAGCCAGAAGTTGCAGTTTTCCCAGGCTGGTTTCCTAAACCAGGGCCCTTTCAAACTGCTCTGTGGAGCCCTGTGTACCTCTGGGCCACCACACCATACATTTCAATTAGATCAGCTCTGCTCTCTGAAGAGATTTTGGCTGTACCAAGTAGCTAGGTTTGGAGTTATGTCAGAGTGTTTGTGTCATCCTTGTCTTACACCTTTAGAGACTGTTGTGTAGGTGGAGCTCCTGGGTGTCTGGGTTTCTTTAGGTCTTGAGGCTATGACTTTAATCATCTTGTTCCACATCCCCCATTCCCTCCAAAAAAAGTCATTACCACCAAGTTTCACTGGTCCTGCTCATGTTCATAGTTGTCTTGGATGCCTGTGAATCAGTACCAGGTGCAACCACCCCAATAAGAGACTCTGCCACTCCTTGGTCCTGACCACCCGCCTAGACCTGGGGTCCGGGGCTGCTGCCCTGAGTCAGCCACTCTTTCCTCACAGGTTGTAGATGTGGCTCCAGAGCTCTTGCGTATCTGCAGCCTCATTCTGGCTGACAACAAGATCCCACCAGGTGAGGATAGGAGTCACAGGCAGGGGCTTGGGGGAGGCTGGGAGTGGCAGGGCTCAGAGGACCTGGGGCAGCGAGGCTTTAGGAGCCCCAACCTTTCTCCCTCCCTCTGCACCCAGACACCAAGGCCGCGCTGTTGCTGCTCCTGACATTCCTGGCCGAACAGCACGCCGACAGCTTCCAGGCAGCTCTGGGCTCACTGCCTGTTGACAAGGCTCAGGAGCTCCAGGCTGTGCTGGGCCTCTCCTAGATCGCAGGCTGCAGCCAGTCCAGAGAGAACAGAGCCTGCCCAGGCCTTAAGACCACCTCTCAGCCCAGTTCAGTTCTGCCTTACCAAAGATTCTGGGACTCATAGCCATTTGGCACCAGCCCTACTTGCTGCCTTACAGGGCTGTCCCTGAGGCTGGATCTGTTACAAATGAGTCATGACATCATACTGTAATAAAAGCAGCTTGTTTTCTGCTTGAACAATAGCTCTGAGAGCAAGAAGGCTGGAAATGCACATTCAGAAATGAAGTAAGCAGGACCCAGTGAGCCACAACGTGGTTTACTAGAAGTGGCCGGTTTCCTGGCAGCTTTGTAAATGGACTCTAACCTCGGTGGAATCTGGGCCCCGGCTGGATCAGGAGGCGACCATATGGCTTTTCTTGTTCCACGCGAAGAATCTGTTGCGCTGAGAGCACTGGTCAAGAGGGGAGGAGAGGGCAGGTTGGGGGAGTCCCTGTATGGGCCTCTGGTCTGTGTGTCCCTGCACCACATACACACACACACATGCATACACTCACCCAGGAGCATGTAGAAGACCCGAGCGGCCATCCTGCGGGGGCTGAGGGGTGACACCAGGCTGCTGAAGTCAGGTTCCCTGTTGGCCTGCAGCTCCAGTGCCACTGCCCTATAGGGATCAAGAACCATTAGCAGAGGCTTCAACCCGGGTCCACCCCATCAAGGTGCCACCCCCCTGGTACCTGTGCACAGCTTCCAGTGAGAGCAGCTCGAGCTCTGGGGGCAGCACCAAAGGCATTTCCATGGGCACCTCAGGGAGTTCAGGCACCACGGGCAATGCAGGAAGTTCTGGCTGTTCCACCTCAGCCCAGGCCCTAGGAGAACATGGGAGTAAGAGCAGGGAAGGTGGCAGCTGTGACAGTGACAAGGGGCATACCCATCCCAGCAGCTATTTCTACCACCTGGCCAAAGGCTGTGGGCCCTGGCTCCCATGGAGCCTGGCCGCTTACCACCGTTCTTCTGGTGGGATGAGGCTGATGCGGGTCTTCTCCTCTTCAGCTGCCTCTAGGGAGAGCTCTGTTCGGGGAGGAAAGGCACTGGTGGGTGTCTGCTTGGGTGGTAGTTAGGGCCTTGTGGCCACCTGGTATAAGTAGATGGCAGAGCTATGCAGTGACTTGTTAAAAGCACACAGGTGAGAGAGCAGAGGAGGAGCAGTCCGTGCTTCCTTATGTCACACACACACGCCTTCACTCATGAAATAGCTTGAGCAGTTGGGATACTAGTTTCCTGGGACAGTGGTAAGGGTGGTGGTCCCACTGCCCCTCTTCTCTAGGTATTTACCTGAAGACACCATAAGGGGAACACTGGGCTCCTGGGCCTCCCTCAGGACCTGGGGACAGGAGAAGCAGAACTAAGACCCCAAGCATCTGAGACTCGGGCCTCAGAAGGCACAAGGCCAGTGAGCCTGTGCTATTGGCCCTCATAGCAGGGGAGGGCAGCCAGTTAGTCAGGCAGACCCTGGCACTGGGGCGATGCAGGTAACAGGTGGTGCAGTTACCTCGATCTCACTCGGAACTTCAGCCTTTCTCCTTTCCTCCTCAGCAGCCTCCTCTTCGGCCTCCTCGGGCAGCTCTCGCCTGAGTGCTCTTGGGGGTGGCTGGGCACAGCGGGTCCAGAGACCCATTAGTTCAAGGGGTAGCCAGCCAACTGTGGACAAGAAGGCAGTAGGCACAGGGTTTGAGGCGCGAGGAGCACCAGGAATGAGAAATTGGTTTTGAGGATCCTTTGTGCCCATCCCCTGCCATTCTTACAGAGAGTTGGGGTTCTGAACAACTCTGCAGGGCCTGTGATGGTCCTCTCAGGAGGCTGCACCTTGGGCTGTGTGGTAGGGAAAGGTCAGAAGCCTCATTATGAAGCAGCCACTCCTCAGGTCCCCTTTGCCTCTTTGCAATGCATTGTTCTGGGGCTTCTGGACTTCCCCAGCTTTTGGGCTCGTGACCCTGCCTGCCCTGCTCATTGCTAAAAGAAGGACTTTTTAACCTGGTGCCCATGGGTATGACAGTTGGGGTCACTAAAGGACCATGAAGAGTTGTACATGTGCAAACCCACATCGGCTGCATTTTCTGGTGAATGAAGGGGATTTTTCATCAAGTTCCCAATCCTACCCCCAACCTCCTGAGGAATTTAGAAGGCTCAGCCTGCATGTGCCCCTGGTATCCCTGCCTCCTTCCCTCTCCCCGCAAAGCCTGGGCTGTACTCACACATTCCCAGCAGTGGGCTCTGGTTTGCAGTTGTTCCCGGAATTTCTCCCGGGAGATCTGAGTCTCCTTGTCCCAGAACAGTAACTGGCGACGACGGCGGCGAGGAGGTGGGAAGACTGGGGGCCGCCTCCGCTGAGTGGGGAGGGCAGGTAGGGGCAAGGCTGCCCATTACTCTTTTTCCTGTCTCTGGTGGACTGCTAACAGGGCCCCACACCCCGCCCCTAGAGGAACCTGGGGAAAGGGCTTGTGTGGGGTCTTCATGCACTTGAGCAGCTCATACCTTGCATAAGGGTACCCATCTGGAAAGTGCAGGCCAGACACAATGGGGTGTAGAAAGGGACATCTTTTATCATCTGCACTAAGGACCCCTGTAAGCTAGCAGTGGCCCTGGGCTTAGGGAGGCAGCCCTGGTGGGGGAGGGCAAAGAGGAGGAGGAGGAGGGTTGGAAGGGATGCTACTCACCTCTGGGCTGGGTGGGGCTGGCAGACGCAGTTCCTCTGGGGGGGTCACCTCTGCAACAACACCCAAGGTTGTGGCTCTGTCCCATAAGCCCCTTACCCCTTGCAGATACCAGGGCAAGAAACTGCAGGGTCCTCCCTTTAGCGAGTGGGGATATAGAGCCCTTGTCTGCAGCAGTATAGAAGTACTCCCAGAAAAGCCCCTGGGGCGTGGTGGGCACTCACCCATGAGTAGGGCCCCAGGCTCCCAGCCTGTCGGCCTCAGCTCCTCAGGGACCAGGACTGGAAGTGCCTCTGCTATTCCTTCCACCCTGAAGGGAAATGGGCAAGATAAATGAGGAGACCCTTCCCAGCACCAACACCCTACCTGGTCTAGGAATTCCTGCCCTTACTCTGCAGGAGCTGGAGGTGAGAGCCGGGGGACTACGATTTCACCCTCTGGGACCCGGAGCTCCTCCCTTAGCTCTGTGGAGAGAGAATCAGAGTTCAGAGGATGGAAAAGGAGAAATGGGAACATTTTCCAGTCCCAGACTGCCCACGCCAGGGGTCTGCCAGAGACACCTACTTTCTAACAAGATAGCTTCGTCTTCCTCTGCGATCAGCAGGTCCAGGTCTCGGCGGCTGACCTCTGGGAGCTCCTCTTCACCCTGTCCAGAGAGAAGAGCAAGGGGAGGGGGTTCAATAACATTTCTGAAAAAGGCAAGTGGATCCAGGAGAGTGGATCCCAGAGGCATGGCACAGGGCCAGGTTCAAGGAAGCCACTGGGTGCTCAGGTGCCAGGGACAGAGAATAGGGAAATGGAGACAGAAAAGGCAGGACTCTGGGGACAGAGAGAAGTAGATGCAAGGGGGCTGGACATCAGGCCCTGTGTGCAGGGAACAACTCACCTCAATCCGCAGCATCCGTATGGGCTCTGCCTCCCGGAGCGTGATGGCCTCAGGGGGCAGCACAGTGACCGGAATCCTGTCTGGAGGAACAGGGGAGTCACCAGCCTCTCTGCTTCTTTCCAAATTCCCACAGCCATGCAGTCAGGCAAAAGCATGGACTCTGAAGTCAAGGTAACCTGGATTCTAATCAGACCCAGGCTAATCTCTGGCATCCTGACCCTGGCTACACTGCTTAACCACTGTGAGCCTCACTTTCCTCATCAGTAAAATGGGGAGGCTGGGCGAAATGGTTCATACCTGTAATCCCAACACTTTGGATTGCTTGAGCCCAGGAGTTTGAGGCCAGCCTGGGCAACATAGCGAGACTCTGTCTCTACAAAAAATTTAAAAACTAGCCAGGTGTGGTGGCTCATCCCTGTGGTCCCAGCAACTCTGGAGGCTGAGATGGAAGGATTGCTTGAGCCCTGGAGGAGGAGGTCAAGGCTGCAGTGATCTATGATCATACCATTGCACTCCAGCCTGGGGAAAAAAAGAAAAAAAAAAAAAGCCAAGTGTGGTGGCTTATGCCTGTAATCCCACCACTTTGGGAGGCTGAGGTGGGTGGATCACCTGAGGTCAGAAGTTCGAGACCAGCCTGGCCAACATGGCGAAAACCCATCTCTACTAAAAATACAAAAATTAGTTGGGCGTGGTGGTGCATGCCTATAATTCCAGCTACTTGGGAGGAGAATTGCTTGAATCCGGGAGGCAAAGATTGCAGTGAGCCTAAAGTGTACCACTGTATTCCAGCCTGGGTTACAGAGTAATACTCTGTCTCTCAAAAAAAAAAAAAAAAAAAAAAAAGGATAAGAAATCTGACCTCAGAGGACTCTTGTGAGGTACTGATTAGGTTACACACATAAACTGCCCCTCGTGGGGCACGGTGGCTCACGCCTGTAATCCCAGCACTTTGGGAGGCCGAGGCGGGCGGATCACCTGAGGTCAAGAGTTTGAGACCAACCTGGCCAATGTGATGAAACCCCATCTCTACTAAAAATATAAAAATTCGCTGGGCATGGTATTGTGTGTCTGTAATCCCAGCTACTAGGGAGGCTGAGGCGGGAGAATTGCTTGCAGTGAGCTGAGATCGCACCACTGCACTCTAGCCTGGGCGACACAGTGAGACTCTGTCTCAAAAAAAAAAAAAAAGGGCCCCTCACAGGGCCGGGCTCTTAGGCTCAAAAATGGTAATTTCTACAGCTCTTGGGCCTGCCTATGCCTCTCACCAGAAAGAAGGTTCTCTCTGCTGACCTGGCTTCCTGGGCTCTGTAGGGACTTCAGGAGGGATCTCTTCAACTCTCTCTGGAATTGCAGCCTCTAAGAGGTGTCGAATCTTTGGGGAGGGATTGGAAACAAAAGATAGGGTTCAGCTTCAGCCCCCTGCTTTCCCACTTTCACAACCTTCTTCAACAATGCACAGTAATCTCCTTTTATGCCTAATTCTTGTTGCACTGACATCAGCTTGCAGTAAACTCACCCGCCATCTGGCCTCCTTTCCTCAGTTCCTGTTCTCACCTCCCTTCCCAACCCAAACCCCAGTTATCTAGCCCTCATCAATTTGTGCAAGAAGGCCAGGCGCGGTGGCTCACGTCTATAATCCCAGCACTTTGGGAGGCCAAGGTGGGTGGATCAGTTGAGGTCAGGAGTTCGAGACCAGCCTGGCCAACATCATGAAACCCCATTTCTACTAAAAATACAAAAATTAGCCGGGCGTGGTGGTGGTGCCTGTAATTCCAGCTACTCGAGAGGTGGAGACAGGAGAATTGCTTGAACTCAGGAAGTGGAGGTTGCAGTGAGCTGAGATTGCCCCACTGCACTCCAACCTGGGAGACAGAGCAAGACTGTCTCAAAAAAAAAAAAAAAAAAATTGTGCAAGAAGCAGTGCATCGTCAACTGTTGTGGTTGACAGAGGTGAACAGAAAAGATTCTTGATCTTAAGGAAGTCTAGTGGGGAGACAAGGTTGTATGTAACCCCTCAAGAGTCAAGGCAAAGGGTAAAACAAGGCCCTAGCAAAGTGCTGAGTTCCCAAACCGCATTTGGTTCCAGCTAAGACTGGGATAAATATTTCATAGAGAAGGGCAGCATTTAAGCCAGGTCTGTAAGAATATGTAGAACTCGACTTGCAGAGGATGAGGGGTGACCATTATGGGCTAGGGAAGCAGCAAAAGCAAAGACATGAATATGGTATCATTGAGGCATAAGGGCCAAACTAGTGTTTAGGAGCCACAGATGCCTAGAGGACTGAGAGAGAAGTCTGGGGATGACTAGTTCTAAACCGGGGTATGTGCCCGGCATGGTGGTTCACGCCTGTAATCACAGCACTTTGGGAAGCCAAGGGGGGTGGATCGCCTGAGGTCAGGAGTTTAAGACCAGCCTGACGAACATGGTGAAACCCCGTCTCTACTAAAGATACAAAAATTAGCCGGGCATGGTGGCAGGCACTTATAATTCCAGCTACTTGGGAGGCTGAGGCAGGAGAATCGCTTGACCAGAGGAAGTGGAGGTTGAAGTGAGCCAAGATCACACCACTGCACTCCAGCCTGGGTGACAGAGACTCCATCTTAAAAAATAGTAATAATAGGCCAGGCGCAGTGGCTCACACCTGTAATCCTAGCACTTTGGAAAGCCAAGGTGGGTGGATCACCTGAGGTCAGGAGTTCGAGACCAGCCTGGCCAATATGGCGAAACCCCATGTCTACTAAAACTAAAAAAAAATGGGCCAGGCGCTGTGGCTCATGTCTGTAATCCCAGCACTTTGGGAGGATGAGACGGGCGGATCATGAGGTCAGGGGTTCGAAACCAGCCTGGCCAGCATGGTGAAACCCTGTCTCTACTAAAATTACAAAATCATTTGGGCATGCTGGCGAATGCCTGTAGTCCCAGCTACTTGGGAGGCTGAGGCAGGAAAATCACTTGAACCAGGGAGGCAGAGGTTGCAGTAAGCTGAGATCGTGCCACTGCACTCCAGCCTAGGCCACAGAGCAAGATCCTGTCTCAAAAATAATAATAATAATAGTAATAAAATAAAAAAATAAACTGGGGCATGGAGAGCCCCAAATGCTAGTAATCTGTTTGCAGCAGGAGCCACTGTTCAAAGGGGGAACTAAGGAAGGAGGTGACATTAAGCTGTTGGAGTATTGGGAATAGATGGAGGAGGACAGGGGTAAGAAAGCCCAGTACAGAGAGATGAGAGCCTGGATTACAGACTCGGCAGTGAAAACAGTGTGGAGACAAGTGGGGACAAGAGCTGCCTCCAGTGGGGAAACCATCTGATCAGATTGGCCCCGAGTAGATAAGTACAGGGGGCTTCGCCTGGATGGATCCACCTTGGCAGTCCCCTTGTTACCACCTCCCATGGGAGAGAGCTGTGGCAAGCTTCCTTCCCCAACCCCAATATCAGAGTGACACAGGGACAGCACTCCCCTTCTGCATTGTCAATTCACGAGTCTGGGGGAATAAGCCCTACCTGAGGGATATCGAAAGGACTAGGAAGTCTGGGATCCACAGACATCATCCCAAAAAAGGGATCTGGAGCATCTTCTAGGGTTTCCATCATGGCCAGGTGGTTAGGAAGCAGTAGGCTGGGTCTGGGAGAGAATGTAGGCCGTCAGGGACTGAGGCTGAGTTAGGCTGAGGCCAAATTAGCAGGTGTTCCATCAAAGGCCCAGGGAACACTCACAGCTCAGGCTCCATATCTATTCGGATCTGCAGCTGGGCACGGTGGAGGCGCTCCAAGATGTGCTGGATGTCCTCTGTGGGCAGGGAGGGCGAGGTAGACAGCCAGCTTAGCAGACAGCTGCTCAGCCCGCCCCACCTCTGAGGGTTCCCAGCCTTACCCACGAGATACTGGCATTGTTGAGAATAGACGCGGATCACACCGATCTGAAGTTGGGCTGAGAGATAGAGGGAGAAGCGGGGCCGCGGCAGGCCGGGCTGCGGGGGTTGCACTCGTACCAGCACATAATTGAGGATTTCCTCGCTGGGGAACAATGGGCCCTGATTACCGCTGCGCCCAGGACTGGGCCCACAGCGTTGCCCACCCCATCCCCTAACTCACCCCCCGCCCCAGGCCCTCCTTCCCTTTTCTGGGCCTTACCAGGTCTTCACCACATTCACCCTCAGGTATTCGCGCTTCACCAACCGGCTGCCGCGCGTCGCCGCCAGCCTGAAGTGGGTGGGGAAGGTGGGAAAATGGGGACGCAGGGGGAGCTGTCAGGCTGGGATCCCGGCCAGCATCCCCCATCGCACCCCACGGGCCCCACCCTTACCAGATGGTGGCAAAGCAGCCGGTGTGGCGCTGAAGTACGTTGGGATAGTAGAACATCGTCCCTCTGGCCTTTCACCCTCAATTCCACCAGATCGCCGTTTGGATCTGAGTCGGAATTCTTTAGGGCACAGAATTCCCAACACCTTGGAGAGAAGTCAGGATTTGGACTTCTCTAGTGGCAAGGTGGGTGCACCCAGAAAACCAAGTTAATGAGGCAATGAACAATTGGTGTATACACGATTACCGGGCTAACTGAGATGCAGGAGATGGGCGCCCCTCTCTGTGGACCCTCAGTGGATCCGCTCGCCACGTGATGCGTGGAACTTGAGCCTTCTGGGTTGGGTTCCAGGTTGGAGATGCAGAGCTCCAAGGGGACGCCCGGGCCGGAATCCAAAACAGGTCCCGAGGGAGCACGGTGTCCTCCACAGCAGGCCTCGGTCCTCGAGCGCTGGGAGCGATGTCAGGCCCCTGGGACTTTCACTGGCTTGGGCGGCCGCGGTGTGGGCCCGGGATGCCTCCCGTAGGACTAGATGGCACCGCGGGAAGCGCGCGCTCCGGAGTCCCGCACCTCGCTCCTCATTAGATGGCGGCTTTTGCCAGGACAGCCAATGGGGAACAGGGGTCGGGTCGGGAGCGCCAAGTAGCCTAGGCTCAAGGCAACAGGGTCTCCCGAGGCAGCCAGCAAACCAATCATAAGGACTCTGCGTGCCGCTGGGGTCCATTGTGAGGTGTTCTGACCAATGGGCTCTGGTTCTCGCCTCTAGTAACAGGCGCTCCTTCCTTGACCAATGAGCGCATCCCCGCCGCTCGCGTCTAGCCTGGCAACAAGGGCTCCTCAACTGGTAGGGGAGGTCGGGTCACGTCGGGGGCAACTGTGCTGGGTCTCTTCCGGGTGCCAAGATGTACCTTGCAACGCGCCTGACCTGAGGTTAGACCCCGCCCTCCCCCCAGTCCACAAACTCCTACTTTGTTTCCAACTAGGGCGTGTCGTGTGCTGCAGAAGTAGAAAGATGTGAGATGAGGCCGGGAGCGGTGGCTCACGCCTGTAATCCTAGCACTTTGGGAGGCTCAGGAGGGCGGATCATGAGGTCAGGAGTTCGAGACCAGCCTGATCAACATGGTGAAACCCCGTCTCTACTAAAAATACAAAATTAGTTGCTCGTGGTGGCACGAGCCTGTAATCCCAGCTACTCAGGAGGCTGAGGCAGGAGAATGCTTGAACCTGGGAGGCGGAGGTTGCAGTGAGCCGAGATTGTGCCACTGCACTCCAGCCTGGACAAGAGAGCAAGACTCCATCTCAAAAAAAAAAAAAAAAAAAGATGTGAGATGATAGTCTTGGAGCCCCCACAGGTCAATGAGGAAGAAGTCAATCGTTTTTGTTTGTATTGTTTTGTTTTGTTTTGTTTTGAGATGGAGTCTCTCACTGTTGCCTAGGCTGGAGTGCAGTGGCGCTATCTCTGCAATCTCGGCACACTGCATCCTCCGCCCCCCGTCCCCTCAGGTTCAAGCGATTCTCGAGTCTCAGCCTCCTGAGTAGCTGGGATTACAGGTGCCCTCCACCACACCCAGTTAATTTTTGTATTTTTAGAAGAAACGGGGTTTCACTATGTTGGTCAGGCTGTTTCTTTTCTTTTTGAGATGGAGTTTCACTCTGTCACCCAGGCTGGAGTGCAATGGCGCAGTCTCAGCTCACTGCAACCTCTGCCTCCCCAGTGCAAGGGATTCTCCTGCCTCAGCCTCCCGAGTAGCTGGGATTACAGGCACCCATCACCACACCCGGCCAGATTTTGTATTTTTTAGTAGAGACAGGGGTTTCACCATATTGGTCAGGCTGGTCTCGAACTCCTGACCTCAGGTGATCCACCCGCCTTGGCCTCCCAAAGTGTTGGGATTGCAGGTGTGAGCCACCGCCCCCAGCTGAAGAAGTCAATCTTACACGAAACTCCAAAAGGACTTACTGGGGTCACTTCCTAAATCTGAACAACTTAGGTTATGGGCACACCACGTGGTCCTTTCCCAGCTGCCAGCGTTCTCCCGGCTGAAATAGACTTTAGCTTTGTTGGATGCAGCACATACTTCCCAGCCTGGAAAAGCCATATTCTCAAACAATTGTTTGTGTAAATTTAAGAGGTATGGTTGTAATAACAAATAACCCTTGTCTATGCCTCCTATCTTTGCACAGCCATTTCTTTAGCCTAGAATGCCCTTCTCTGCCTTGACTGCAGGGCATACTTCTTCCTAAGACTTATCTCTTACTGCAGCTGAGCTGACCTTATCTTCTTACAGTTCCCTTCAATTTGGGAGCTTTTTTTTTTTTTTTTTTTTTCTGAGATGGAGTTTTGCTCTTGTCGCCCAGGCTGGAGTACAATGGACCATCTTGGCTCACTGCAATCTCTGCCTCCTGGGTTCAAGCAATTCTCCTACCTAAGTCTCCTGGGTAGCTGGGACTACAGGCGTGTGCCACTACGCCCAGCTAATTTTTTTATATTTTTAGTAGAGACAGAGTTTCACCATGTTGGCCAGGCTGGTCTCAAACTCCTGACCTCAAGTGACACCCACCTCAGCCTCTCAAATTACATGCCTATACTCACAGCTACTTAGAAGGCTGAGATAGGAGGATTGATTGAGCCGAAGGTCGAGGCTGCAGTGAGCCATGATTGCACTACTGTGCTCCAGCGTGGGTGATTCTGTCTTTAAAAAAAAAGAAAGAAAGAAAAAAAGAAATACATGAAGTGGCCGTAAGTGCTATGAAGAAAATGAGGCAGCATAGGAGGATAGAATAATGATGACTGCTATTTAGGGAGGGTATTTCAGGGAAGCCTTGCCCCCTCTCTTAAGAGATACAATTTGAAGAAAGTGGGTAAGTCATGTGCTTACTTGAAGGAAGAGTAATTTAGACAAAAGAACTGGCAACTGCAAAGATCCTGAGGTAGAAATGTGTTTGGTGGGTTCAAGGAGCCTGAAGCAAAGCGACAGGGGAAGAATGGCAAGGGGCAAGAGAAAGAGGAGGGCAGGGTCACATCACAGGACCTCAGAGGTCGTTATGGGGATTTGGGCTTTTACCCTGGGTGATTTGGGACCCAATGAAAGGTTCTGAGCAGAGAAGTGACATGATCAGAATTGTGTGTGAAAAGGATCTCTACTATGTTGAGAATAGCTTACGGTAGATACGAGTGGAAACAGATGTGAAGGAAGCAGAGAAGATATGAGAGATGGTGGTAGTTTGTTCCAAAGTGTTGCTGATGGAAACAGAGAGAAGTGGTCAGACCCTGGATACATATTGAAGGAATAGCGACAGGATTTGCTGATGAATTGGATGTGGGGTATGATAGAAAATGGAAGGAGGCCAGGTATAGTAGCTCACACCTGTAATCCCAGCAGTTTGGGAGGCGAGTGACTGGGACTATAGGCACACACCACCACACCTGGCTTCTTTTTTTTTTTTTCACTTTTTTTTTTTTTTTTGAGATGGATCTTCTTTCTTGTTGCCCAGGCTTGGAATGCAATGGCACGATATTGGCTCACTGCAACCTCTGCCTCCTGGGTTCAAGCGATTCTCCTGCCTCAGCCTCCCAAGTAGCTGGGATTACAGGCATGTGCCACCACGCACAGCTAATTTTTAAAATATTTTTATTAGAGATGGGGTTTCACCATGTTGGTCAGGCTGATCTCGAACTTCTGACCCCAGGTGATCCACCCACCTCGGCCTTCCAAAGTGCAATGATTACAGGTGTGAGCCACCGTGCTTGGCCTCCCCTGGCTAATTTTTAAGAATTTTGGGGAGCCAGGCACAGTGGCTCACACCTGTAATCCCAACACTTTGGGAAGCTGAGGTGGGCAGATCACCTGAAGTCAGGAGTTCAAGACTAGCCTGGCCAACATGGTGAAACTCTGCCACTAAACATACAAAAATTAGCCTGGCATCGTGGCGTGCACCTGTAATCCCAGATACTCAGGAGGCTGAGGCAGGAGGATCACTTGAACCCAGGAGGTGGAGGTTGCAGTGAGCCAAGATTGCACTACTGTACTCCAGCCTGGGCGACAGAGTGAGACTCTGTCTCAAAAAAAAAAGAAAAAAGAAAAAAAGAATTTTTTTGTAGAGGTAGGTTTTCACTATGTCACCCAGGCTAGTCTCAAACTCCTGGGCTAAGGCAGTCTTCTCATTTCGATCTCCCAAAGTGCCAGGATTACAGGTGTAAACCACTGCGCCCAGCTGAAAAAGGATTTTTTTTTTCTTTGAGATGGAGTTTTGCTCTTGTTGCCCAGGCTCAAGTGCAGTGGTGTGATCTCGGCTTACTGCAACCTCCACCTCCTGGGTTTAAGTGATTCTCCTGCCTCAGGCTCCCAAGTAGCTGGGATTACAGGTGTCCACCACCACGCCTGGCTAATTTTTTGTGTTTTTAGTAGAGACAGGGTTTCACCATGTTGGCCATCCTGGTCTCAAACTCCTGACCTCAGGTGATCCACCCGCCTCAGCCTCTCAAATTACTGGGATTACAGGCGTGAGCCTCAATGGCCAGCCATTTTTTTTTTTAATTAAAAGAATTAAAATAAAATGGAAGTCAAGGAGATAATTTAGACCTTGTACAAAGAAGGTCCAGGAGGGATTTTATCACATTGCATCACATTGAGGGCACAACAGCGATTGTACAACTCTGCACTCAGTACCTCATTTCTTCACTGCTAGTGCAGAGCCTGTCTAGGCACTTGGCTTCCCAGGGGGATGATGGACAAGACTGAAGGGAAGAAGGGAGGTCCATTGGAGGCAGGGAGGCTCAAAGGCAGCACTGAAGCTTGCCAAATGAGGCAGCAAGAAGGTCCTAGGAGGACTTAGGCATCCAGATTTGATCATGTGTATGAGCCATTGAGGGCTGAAGAGTGAAATGACAGGAGGAAGTCTGGAAAGCTAAGCTGGTGTCATATGCAGGAAGAAGGAAGCTGAAGGCTGTGGCCTGGGTTGGAACTAGTTTGCTGGAAGTGAGTGTACAAAACAGTAGGTGACAGGTGGCCTTGTGGTGAAGGAAAAACTTCCAGTTTGGTAGTAAAATGAACACAGGGGAAAGGGAAAGGAGTGTCAGCCAATTTGGAGCCCTCAAGTCTCATGAACAGCATGTTTGTGACATGGCAGTCTAGGCCGGAGTGCCTTTTTTTTGTTTGTTTTTTTCTTGAGATACAGTCTTGCTTGTTGCCAAGGCTGGAGTACAATAGCGCAATCTTGGCTCACTGCAACCTCTGCCTCCCGGGTTCAAGCGATTCTCCTGCCTCAGCCTCCCAAGTAGCTGAGATTACAGGTGCCCGCCACCATGCCTGGCTAATTTTTGTATTTTCAGAAGATGAGGTTTCACCATGTTGGCCAGGCTGGTCTCGAACTCCTGATCTCAAGTGATCCACCCACCTTGGCCTCCCAAAGTGCTGGGATTATAGGCGTGAGCCACCACACCCAGCCAGCCAGAATGTCTTTTATGGGGCTTAGATAGAGCAAGGAATCCAGTTTGGGAGTACCCTGCTGGGGTGACGGTGAAATTTGTGCTGGAGGAAGAGGTGCCAGTAACAACAGGTACAGGTTTAGCAACTCTTTGCTCTGACTCCTCTGTTCTCAGGCCCCAGGGCCTCTAGACCATAGTTTCAGGTCACCTTCAAGTGTCTCCTCTTCATTTAGACCTCCAGTCTAACCTCAGGCCCGATGTTGAGGCCTTCTAGCAAGAACTATGAAGCCCAGACTTTACCATGTGAAGTTGGTGGCTATAGTGCCTGGCTGAAGGCTTGATGCCCCTTTCGATGGCCTATCCCAACCCACTCCCTAATCTTGTCTGCCCAGAGGGTACCTCTGTAGAGTGCCAGGCCCAGGACCCACAGGGCCCAGATAGCATATTAGCCAGAACCTGTGGGCAAAGGAGAGGAAAAAGGCTGGAGATGTCAGCAGGAAGAGAACCCCAGTGCCCCACTCGTAAGTTTACATCTCTATCTGTGACCACTGCTACCTTCTTCTCCCAGAAAATCAGATACTGATTCCTCTTTCAATACAATTTTATTTTAAATCCTTAGTGAATATCTAAGAGGAAAATATAAAGTGCTTG